AACGCTCAAAACCTTTCAAATGTACCTGTTCACTTTATCTCTTGCGCTTTCCCAGTAGCAGTCACTATTTGTGACGCGCTTATACTTATTTAAATTGACGAGGCTTGGGATTTCGAATGGCGGTATACACAAGCCGCTGTGACCATTCTACCCGTAACAATTACTAAAAACGTAGAAACACTCAAAACATTTGAAAGGTTTTGTGAGTCACTGTATAAAACGTAAACAGTTACAATCTGACTATAAGTCTAGTCGGTTAAAACAAGTGATATCCAAATCACTGAACACAGAGGCACGTAGTAGTAGAAAGAGACAGAAGGTTGCACTTTCACCACAAACTACAAAGAGTAAAGGAACGCGTCGGAGCACCCGATTGCATAAAAATTAAAAACATTATTTTGTCTTCAGTGCATCATACTCTTCTCAACTGATGACTCAGTTTGGTGGGGGGTAATGTTGTATTTTAGCACTGAGATTGGCTTATAGAGCATTCAAAGAGCTTATCATAATTTGTACAGTACCTGTCCAAATTATATTGTACATAAAAGAGTCTGTAGACAGAGTGACATCACACTAATAACCTGTGCTACAATGTGGAGTATATTGCTACCCTGTATTAATAACTTATATATTCTTCACTTCTTATTTTTCAAAAATAAAAAGATATACTTGGAAGTTATTGTTTAATCATAGTCCATTTCAAATCAACTATTCAACCAATTCTCAATGTTTGTTGTATTCATACTTAGTGGATCAACTATTAACCACATATGAAACAATAACTGGCAATTATTCGACTTCAGCTTGTTACTTTGAAACAACTGTGCGGATCATTATTTAAGCTGATTACCAGGAACTGTATTTTAAGGTACGCGTATCCAATAACTCTGATCCATCATTGTTATTAGGGATCATCGTCTTATCAAAGGCACCCGATTCGTCCTAACTCTCTCATTGCCTCAATTGTCATTCATAAGCCTCTATGAAAAGTTTTACGATCTCAGTTGAAGAGTGTCTCACATTTAGTATAAATACTCGTCTTTAATAAAGTCAATCGAGATATATCTTTTTAGTCTGGTTAATTCTAGTCTTTATTTTTTTTAATTGATACTTCGTATTCAACAATGTTGCCAGTTGTTGGAGTCACTGTAAAATTCATGATCTTTGCTACTCATTTCTCTAATATAATTATACTTGCCATAAAAAAATTATTCGTTAGCGACTAGAATACGTGCCATAAGAGTACAAACGTATTTTACTACTCACTTCTGCTAGACCAAAATGTGGCTTAGATCTTCCAGGAAACTTACTATATATTAACTGGCTTGTGGCAGCCAAGCGTTCATAGCGACGTTGCTTTTTGATTCTTCGATGTCGGCTCTTCCTATCATAATGAAGCAGAATTCATTAAGTGTTGGATTGTTCACCCACTAATAGGGAACGTGAGCTGGGTTTAGACCGTCGTGAGACAGGTTAGTTTTACCCTACTGATGGTATTGGTATCGCAACAGTAATTGAAGTTA